CCACCCCCAGCAGGTGAGCAGCAGAGGGCGGGGCTCCACCCTGACAGGAGAAATGACAGCACCTTTCTCCTTTGCCCGGTGTGGGTGGGTGACGTGGCACCATTTTGAATGAGATGATAAAACAAAACGAAGCACCTGGCCTCGTTTGAATGAAAAGAGACAAGAATGAAAAATTTAGAGAATGAGGGTGGAGGCAATGAAAGGAAAAAAAGAAAAAAATAAGTGAAAGACTAAAAGGAGTAAACCAAAACCTGTTTCTCTCAACGTAGGTAGGAAATGTGTCCTAAAATTGTGACAGATTTCAGGTCAAGAGGACTTATTCTACCAGGGATCTGAGAAATACTAACAAGCCTCATGAATACATATGTGCAAAAGCTATCAAGAATCGTTATTCTTGTGGCAGGTTGCTGAATTTTAGAAGGCTTTCTTGCATAAATAAGAGCTGGGGAAGCCTTTCAATAACAGATGCGGTTAATTTATTATCACTTGATTTGCGGCATCTTGAATTCTGATTCCTTGCCTCTAACTAGAATATTAGAATACCAAGCACTTTTTGACAGACCATTGCATAGAATAAAGTGTCACATCGATGCTATCAGCTCCCTCCTGATGTGTTTTAAGCACCACTGTTGTGTTCCGACGGCTAATTTAAGCCGGTAGCTTGGTTATTTCATAGTACCAACAGAAGATTTTATAAAGAGCTTTTCAAAGGCATTAAGAGTTGGTTCAGCATTTAAGAGCACTTACAGCTCTTGCAGAAGACCCCAGCACCCAAATATCACTCCCAAATGTAACTCCAGTCCCAGTGGAGCCAATGCCCTTTTTTGACCGAATACCTGCACACACACACACATGTTCCAGCACACACCACGCATGCACACTGACACACAAGTACATATCCACAAACAAAACTTGATTTAAGTAATTGTTGGCTACTGTTTAAAGCTGGTATGTTTTCTGTCAGCTGAGTTGTTAAGGGGAATATGAAGGCAGGCTCTATAAACTGTGTTTCAGTAGGAAGTACATGATCCTTTCCTGAAAAGTGAATGGATTGAATGTTTATGTCACTCCAGTAGAGCAGCAACACTGACGTGGCCACCTCCTATCCAGGAGATCTGAGCTCAGCTACGCCTCTGTGGCACTGCTCCTTCATTTAATTTCTTTTGGAATCAGAACTGGTAGGAAATATTTTAATAGATAACCATTTAATTAACATTTAGAATAAAAAGGAGGCAAACAATTGAGATGGCTGAACCCACTTCTACCCTCTCTCTGCTCTCTGCCCCCTTTCTATCCCCTTCTTTCTTCCTCACTTTCTTCCTTCCTTCTACTTTCTCTTTGTTCTTCCTTCCTGTCTAGTTTTTGTCATATTGTTATTATTTTCCCTTGTTTTTGAGACTGTGTGTGTGTGTGTGTGTGTGTGTGTGTGTGTGTGTGTGTGTGTTGTGAATCTGAGTAATGGCACCGACAAAGTCTTGGGAATCTTTCCTGATCTTCAGAGTCTAAATGCCAAGAGTGAGTGGGTTAAATGTGCAAGGTGTTCATTGGAGAGGAAACCCCAGTGGAGGACCCAGGAAGGAATGGGAGTCTCAAAATGGGAAAAAACAGACAACCACCAGGCAAGTATACCTGTGCAAGGGCAGCGAGAAGAAGAAAAGGGAATGAATGGCAGAAGGGACAGAGAGAAAGATTTTCAGATCTGCAGAGGCAGTTACGATTTGAATGCAGTTTAGTGTCTCCCTAAGACTCTAAGGATTTATTTATTTATTTATTTATTTATTTATTTATTTATTGTAGACCAGGCTGGCCTCGAACTCACAGATAATCTGCCTGCCTCTGCCTCCCAAATGCTGGGACTAAAGGCATGTGCCACCAATGCTCAGCGACTCTATGGATTTAAACTGATTCCCCATTGTGAATATTAAGAAGATTAGAGAGTGGGGTGGGAGCACCCATGATTGTACCTTGATGGCATTATAAAGAGAATGAGAAACTTTGGTTGCAGGACATGAAGAACTCAAGTCCAACTAATCAGGAGACTTTCTGCTGGATAGCTTCCATATAGCCAGAAAGTGCTATGCACATAACTGGGGAAGAAAAGGCATCACCAATCTTACCAAGATGTGAACTCTGAGAGCTGTGTCACCAATCTGCCAGGCGAGACAATCTGAGTGTCCACAGGTATAATAGTGGCATGACTGCTATGGAAGAAAACAACTGCTTTCCGTTTGCATTTGGGGCCTCCGTAGGAGGGAATATATGCCTCATGTTATATAACCCATCAAAAGTGAGGCCCTGAAAGGGAGATGCACTGCAGCTGTAGTCTTGTTAAATGGACATGAGATGGAATTGCCTTCTCAGTATGTAGTGTATAGCCACAGAGCATACTGCTCTAACATTGGTCAGAGAAGCTTCTGTACAGGTGAAGGCTACTGCAGAGGCTGATAACTGGTCACAGGCCTGAGAATAAGCGACTGCTGAGTGCTCAGTCACAAAGGGAAACATCACCCTCTTCTAGGCTCAGGGAATATCCCAGAGGAGGGGGCAGAAAGAATGTAAGAGCCAAAAGATGTTGGGTAGTGCTTCCAAAAACTGATATCCGGATATAGCATAGCATGGCTGTGGCACTTAACAGCAGTTGTTGTGACTTGCTCAAGCTGGGGCCACATCAACATTCCATCACAGATGGGGGAGGGGCTCCCTGAGAAGCTGTTGGCAGTTAATGATTGCTGGGGGAGGGGAAATCATAACATTCAGTGGCAAATTGCCTTGATCCGGTAAACCCCCAACCCCTTCCCCCACTACTCATGCTCATGCAAGCAGCGCTGAATTAAAGTCAGATGAAACAAAATAAATAATAATAATAATAATAATAATAATAATAATAATAATAAAATTAATTCAGTGGGTCACAACATTAGCGACAAAAAGGATTGAAAGTAGGAGGTGACCTGTTTAAAGAAACAAGGGGCTCAGCAGGAGAAGAGGGGGCAAGGACGCACTAAGGGTGAGGGGATGACCAGAATGCATTATATACTTTATACATGAAATTATCAAAATAAACTCTTTTTTTTTTTTGTCTGCTAAATTTCACCCAGTCTATGATGTTGTGCTACTGGCAACAGAAAAGGGATGAATACCAAGGCCTACAGAATGTCTTTGAACTCAGAAGACTCCACAATCCCATCCACCTCTCCGGAATGAGTAAGCCATTGACTGACAAGTCACCGCGGTGCTATCTATAACTGACTTAAAATGAGGGCATGAGACCCATCTTCTTAGACTACCCACAGTGGGTCTGAGGAGTTCATTTTCTAGAAAAAAAAAAAAAGCTATGGTTACCATGTTTATATACTGCAAATATGGTCACATTTCAAACTTGTATTCTTTTTTTGTCGTCACAACTTATCATGAAAGGAAATCTGTGATCTTAGCTAATTCGGATGTTAATAATGCTTACTCAAAAGCCCTTCATCATTTAGATTTAGCTTGACATGTTCTCAAAAATTTTTAATAATTATCATTTAAGCTAAAAGGTAAACATTTTGTTTGATTGTGAACCTTGCCTTTAATGATTGAGCCATCTCTCCAGCTATGCCTAAGGCCCACTGTACTATTTCCATAATCCATGAAATATTATTAATAGGTAAATTACCAGTGTTTACATTTTCAATGTTTTAATTGCAATTGGTATAGTTAAATTGTTCTAATAACAATTTTTATTACAAGTTAGAGGCCATTATTCCTTTGATAGTCTAATAAGCAAACAAAAGAGAATATGAAACTGCAAATTTTCTTTTTCTTTTTTTTCATTTTGGCATTTTGAGATAGGGTTTCTCTGTGTAGCCCTGGCTGTCCTGGAACTCACTCTGTAGATCAGGCTGTTCTCAAACTCAGAGATTTATTTAAGTGTGTAAATGTATACAGGTGACTGAAGAATCCAGAAGAGAACATTGGATACTCGGTAGGTGGGAGTAACAGGAGATTATGAGCCACCAGGTATGGGTACTGGGAATCTTATTGTGCTTCTTTTATTTCATTGTATATGTATGAATGCATATAAGTGTACCACATCCATGCATCAGATGCCCTGGAACTGGAGTTGCAGATGCTTGTGAGCCACCATGGGGTGCTGGGAATTAAACCCAGGTCCTCTGCAAAAGCAAAACATGTTCCTGACCACTGAGCAATCTCTCCAGCCTCATGGGTACTGGGAATCTTACTCTAGTCCTCTGCAAGAGCAGAAAGTACTCTTACCCACTGAGATATCTCTCCAGTCCACCAGCCTATTCTTTCTGATGTTTTGCCAGATTTCAGCAATTAAATGTGACACATTCACCATTGCTATAACAATGTTCTGTCTCCTTTTGCTACACAAGATGGTTCACCATTCATGCCAGAATACTTCAATCCAGAATTTTGTTTTTCAAAATTTTTTTCTAGCCACAAATTAAATGTCAAGTTTTCTTCTTCCTTCTTCTTGTACTTTTTGTCATATGTAAATGGC